AACCCGGGCCACACGCATGCCAGGCGAGCGCACTACCGCTTCAGCCACATCCCCGGCCCACCTGCTGGTTTCTTATCTGCCTCCTGGGGCAGGCCTCTAACCCCAGAGGACGGGAGCTCCTGCATGTCTGGTTCTCAGCTCAGTCCCACCCCCAGGTCAGTGCTGATCCACAAATATTGGCTTGGTTGTGTGCCCATTCCCACTGGCCCTGACCCTGATGGGGATGGGAGGGATATCCACACCCCTCCAGCCTGAGCGGAGGACTTAAGGGTCTTTCTCCTCACGGGTGGAGGCTGGTTCCCAAGGTTCCACAGCCAGTTGGCAGCTGAGCAGCATCTCCTGCTAAGCTCCCCCTCCCAGTAAGAAGCTTGGAGTCAGAGCCAGACCCCAGCTCTCCAACCAGGGCCTCGCTGAACATCTTCAGGGGCTGATAATGTTCCAGCCCATCTCACCTTGCCTGCTGCACAGAAAGTTCTGCACACAGAAATGCTATCATTCCAAGTAAAATGGGGAGCCAGCCAGCAGGGGGTACTGGAGGAGTCTCTGCCCTTGAGAACACAGAGAGCCACAAAAACAGGGTCGGGGGACCATGGGCCTTCTGAGGGGGATGCTCAGTCACCCTGGTGTCCCTGGAAGACCCCCAGTTATTCAGTTATTCTGCATCCCACAGGGTTATAACTGGGTATGCTCCTGGAACAATTAAACAGTATTTCTGGGGACTGGGGTTGTGGCTCAGTGGTAGAATATATGCGTGAGGCACTTCAGCCAGGTTCGATTCTCAGCACCACAAATAAAATGAAAATAAAGGTGTATAAGGCTTTAAATTAAAGACATATTTTTAAAAAAACAGTATTTCTGGCAACCTGGATGGGTTAGGGCGAGTCCTGGAGTGACCTAGGGCTTTCCACCCATGGCAGAGGTCAGCACAGGATGATCGCCAACGGCTGGGCCTGGTGAGTTCCTCTGGGCAACTCCATATTCATCCATAATGTTTTAGGGGCTGGAGGAAGGTTTCTGGCTTTGCCTCAAAATCATGGTGTCTACACCTGGGGAAGGAGGTGCTCAGTGTGAAGGCCCTCCCTATAGGAGCAAAACAGACCCGCGAGAGAACCGCAGACCAGGGGTTGAGAATGAGGCGGCCAGGGGCAGCGGCCCAGTAAAGGATCAGGTGCTGGGGACAGCCGTGCTTCTTCTCATTTGTAACCAGTGGCTGGAAGGCTCCCCGACTTCCCCAGGGGACTGGCTCTCACGCAGGCGCCCAGTAGCCTGCACTCCACACCGCCCAGCTTGGCCCCAGGCAGGGCATGGCTAGGAGGGGCAGGAAGCAGCCCTTCCCACCTGGCAGGAAAGGCCGGTTGCTCCTGTGCTTCTCACAACCAGCCAAGTCACCTCCGTGGACATTCCTTTCCTTCTTAAAAACTGTGGTGAAATCCAGACAACATGAAGTAAACAATTTGGTGGCACTTAGTACATTCAATTGTTGTGCAACCAACACCTCTATATCCAGCTCCACAACATTTCCTCACCCAAAGGGACCCCACGCCCATCAGCAGCCCCCCCCCCCCCCCCCTTCCTTGAGGCCACCCCTCTTCCCCGTCCGCCGGTTTCCTGTCAACGGTGCTGTGTGACGCCTCACTTCTTGTGACTGGCTTCTTTCCCCAGCATCGTGTTGGGAGGCCCACCGAGGTGGCCAGGTGTAGGCGCTGCACCCCGTTTGCGGCCCTGGGATGCTCCCTCACATGGCCCTGCTCTACTCAGCCTGCTGATGGCGCTGGGTGGTGTGCCTGAGGCCCGAGGCTGCTGCGAGCAGGCGCACAGCCCTTGTCAGGCCGGGTGGCTCTGCACCAGCTGCAGCACTGCAGCCCCACTGGCTTCGGGGTCTCACGACCGCGCCACCCGACTCTTCTCCCAGGAAACCTAGGAGCCCATCTTCACCCTCTGTGACCCTGACAGCCCCAGCCAGCCAGCCACCATCCCTGTCCATCTCCATCCAAAATATCCCAGGCCCTCCTGTCACCATTTCCACCACCACTGTCACCTCTCCTTCCAACTCCAGCCTCCACTCCGATCTCTCCCTGCATCAGGTCATCTTTCTAAACCATTTAGCAGAACTCACACTCTCCCCACAGAAAGGCTGCCCTGGAGCGGCTTGATGGCCAGGGCACGTTCAAACTCCACTCCCCAGTTGGCAAGGAACTTTTTGCTTGCATCCTGCTCACCTCTTACCCCTCCAGACCCCATGCCTGCATGGCTCTCAGCCCTTCATCACTTGGGGGCTCTGCATGTACTGTCCCCTCCTGGGATACTCCCCCACTCCCGTGTCACTGTGGATGCCTCCTTTTTGGCTCAGGTGACACATTCCTCAGTCACTGGGTAAATCAGCAACCCAGCACCTTCCACTGTGCATTATTGTATTTGCATCCCAGTGACCATACAACCTACAATTGTCCTGTCTGTGGTTCATGGGTCTTGCCCTCTGGAACACAAGCTCTGTGAGGGCAGGTGCCAGGGCTAAGCCAGCACCTGGGACAGCTCCCTGTACATGATGCTGTTCTCCAGCCAGCCTTTGGGGCCCAGGCCAGCAGTGAGGTTAGGTCAGGCAGCACTTAGTAAGGTGCCCTGCCCTAGTTGAGTGGGTTTAGAAAAACCTGTGATGGGTGGGGACCTCTGGCAGGAAGTTGTCCCTTCAACCCTTCAGACTGACCTCTGTCCAGGTCATCAGCACTAATGGTAATGACCCTATGAGCCCAGCCAGCCAGGCAGCAGTGCCCTGAACCTACTCTGCTCCTGAACCAGACCAGCCATTCTGATTCTAGGAGGCCCGTGGGTGCAGGAAGAGACTGGCGGGCTCCTGAGAAGTGCTGACACAGAGCAGTGAGCTCAAGATGCTCCTGTCCAGGCTGGACCATGCCTTGGATCCTTCCCTCTTGTCCTGGATGTTGACACAGGAAGCAAGTCGACCACTATTTACTGAGCACCTATTGTGTGGTAGGGAATTGATGAAGTGGCCCCTGCCCTCCTGGAGGTTGGAAATGTCTCCTGCAAACATAAACCATGTGGGAAGTGGGCTGCTGGTGACAGGTGCTGAGTTGGGATGTCATGGGCTTGTCCACCTTAGTGACCAGGAGGCTTCTTTTGAGAAGCTCAGGGGCACAGGGGTGCACAGCCCAGAAATGACCAACAACATAAAGCCACTGTGTAGGGAACTCAGAACTGTGCCCATTTCAACCCATCACTGTAGGGTGCCGTGTGTAACTTACAAGAGTGAGCCCGTTTTTTTTTTTTGTTTTGTTTTTTTTCCAACAGTAAAACAGCAAGATGTCCACAGTCTGCACCTTGTGCTTCTAATCTGGCAGCACAGGCAGCAAAAACTGCAAACTGATCACAAGTGAGCTGGGCTCAGTTCCTGCTCAGGTGGATGCTCACACATAACACAAGGCTACATACAGCAGGGCACACGATCAAGGTACCTTCTCAAAACCCTGGCGAGGTGGTAGCTGATTAGTGGTGACGAAACAAAATGAGGGCTGGGCTGGGGCTCAGTGGTAGAGCGCTTGCCTAGCATGTATGAGGTCCTGGGCTTGATTCTCAGCACTACATATAAATAAATTAAATAAAGGTTCATTGACAAAAACAAACAAAATGAGGGTATTAGAATTCTATGGATACTGTAATTTGCTGACCAGTGTGGTCCAATGGAAATATAATTAAACCTTTTCTAGAAGCCCCATTTAGAAAAGCAAAACAAACAGGTGAAATTAACTAACCAAGTGGCATTTTACTCCAATCCAGTGTATCTAAAGTTAATTATTAGCATCACTTCAACACATCCGGTATGAACTTATTAATTAACGATTTTCACATCATCTCATACCAAAGCATTGAAATCCACGTGTTTTCCAACACAGGCTGTGAAACGGCATGGAAGTCCATCCGCTCCTTGTGGAGTAGACCTAAGAACTTGTCTTTACATCTTACTTAACTTCTAAGAGAATATTCAGTATGTTAACGTTATGTGTATTATAAATATTCAGCATGTCAATCAACACGGCACCCTCACTCGGCATGTTCACCGGTCAGTGCGGCCACATTCCACCGCCAGAACAGGGCCTGGCCCTAAGCCTTGCTTGTTTACCGTGGACGTATTTCAACTCATGATTTCTTGAAAAAGCGATGCTCTGGTTTTGACTGAATCAGCTTTCATAAAAGGCGCGCTCCCAAGAAGCCCTGGAGAGAAGCCGCGGAGGAGAGTGCTGCGCCGGCCCGCGGGGGCCTGGGCGGATCCCAGCCCCGGGTGGGCGGTAAGGTTCGGCCGCAAGCCGGCCACTGTGGAGTTCCCCCAAGTTGGAAAGCATGGCTCCCCCGGAGCGAGTGTCCCCAGGTGGCGAGGCCGGCCCAAAGGCGTTTTGGAGAGCGGGGTGGACAGGCGCTTAAGGTCTGGGTGAGCTGGCCGGCGATGCCACCCGGTTCCTGCCCCCCAGCGCCGGGGCGTCCCGCCTGGGGTCGCCATCTCTGCGGGACTGCACGACCGGCACATCCAGCACACCCGGAACCTCGCAGAGGGGCGGTCACTCGGGGCGCTGGGGGCTCCCGGCGCCCTCCACACCCGGGGCCCGCGGCAGCGGGAACTAGGCCTCCCGAGCCGACGGCCCGGAATGGGGACTGCTCCCGCCTCCTGGGCAGCGGCGGGCGCGCGCCACCCTCCTGGACCGCCAGCAGACCCGCTCGCGGCCGCCGCGTCCCGCAGAGGCACCCTCGCTCGCTCCGCCTCCAAAGCCCTGGGCCGCCCAGACCCCAGTCGCTCGGCTGTAGCCCCGCCCACATAAACAGTGGACTCGCCCCTCAAAATCCCGCGGGAACTCTAAACCGCGCGAGAACGGGAGCACCGCCTCTCTCCTCGGCGTCTTTTCACACGGTGACGTGCGCTCGGCACCCTCGTACACACGCACACCGCTCCGCGCTTGCGCGCGGTGGCGTCACTTCCTCTTGGCGGCTGCGCGGGACCTGCTTCCGCTTCCCGCCGCGGCGCGCGCGCTCTGCTCTCGGCCAAGTTAGGATTATGGCGGCTACGGCCACGATGGCGACTTCGGGCTCGGCGCGGAAGCGTCTGCTCAAAGAGGAGGACATGACCAAAGTGGAGTTCGAGACCAGCGAGGAGGTGGACGTGACGCCCACGTTCGACACCATGGGCCTGCGGGAGGACCTGCTGCGCGGCATCTACGCCTACGGTCGGTGGGCGCGGGCCGGGGGCCGCGGGCGGGGACGTGCCGCTTGGTGCGGAGCGCGGCGCTGGGCCCAGCAGGGCTGCAGAGCCTTCGGCGCTTCCAGCCTCCCCCGGGCACACGCCTGTGTGTGCCCGCGAGGGGCCCGGGGCGCCGGGGCTTGGCAGGTTGGTTCCCTCGCGGAGCCTGCGTCTCCCTGGCCGGCGGGTCGTGCGGAGGCAGGTTCGCGTCCGGCAGCAGTAGCCGGTGCTGTGGGAAACGTGGGGGGCGACTCAGGGGAGGTTGGGGAGGTTGGGGTGGAGTAGGTAAGGGGGCTCCGGGGGGCGTTCACGTTGAGCGAGAAGGAGGACCAGAGGGAGAGCGACCCGGCCGAGGAACCGCTGGGGCGAGGAAGGGCCTCGCAGCCCCAGCTGGTGCGGGGCAGGAGCGGCGGGCCTCTGTTGTGGAAGCTCGGGCGCCAGTTTGCAGAGGTAGAGAGAGAACTTGAAGTTCGTTTCTAAGCGCTGCAAAAAGTTTAAATCGCTGCAAGAGTTTAAGCATCAGAGTGACATGGCCAGATTGACAGTTTTGGAGATTGTCTGCTGTCGGTGGGTTCCGGGTGAGAGAGTTAGGGAGATGAGTTGGGAGGCTTTTGCTCTGGTCTGGCCGGGCAGGAGATGATGCTGATGCTTCACTGGAGATGGAGTCCGATAGAGCTGGCAGGGTTGGTGATGGCCTGGGAAGGAGGACTGGAGCATGAGTCCTGGGTGTTTGGAATCAACTGGTGGGTGATGCTGCAGACATCGCTTACTTGGCAACACTGAGAGGTCTTTCTTGGTCTGTTTGAGAGAGTGGGAGCCTTTCTGCTGTAATGACAGGGAGGCAGTTGTCTGTTTGACTTGGAATCCCAGGAAAGATGGCAATTGAAGATGTAGATAGTAGTACTGGCATCCAAGATCCTCCCAGTGATCTTTGTTCAGTGCTTGGACGACCACCCTTTATCTAGCAGTTTTTGCGGCACGACAGTTTGAACAGTGAAGAGAAGTTACTGAGGAATGGAAGGTGAAAGTAAGCCTTGCATCTGGGCCCTGCCTGCTTCTCAACACTCAAGGCCTCCTGCCCTGAAACACTGATATTAATTTCCTACCCATGTTTGCCTTGGTGAGGAACTTAAATCATCTGTTAATCTGCTTTTGTCAGAGATGGGAAATTGTGCTACATTTTAAAAGACTATGAAAATAATACAGGTTTTGTACATAAAGTTTTATTTGCTTACTGGGAAAGTACTTTTAGTCCTTCATTATATATAGTATAGAATAGTATAGTAATTGTTAGGAGGGGTGGCGTAAATGACGCTGCATCAAGACAGGCAAAGAGTGCTGGACACCCCACAATTTGAACCACAGAGGTTAAATACCCTGTAGATGACATGAGCAGCCCACGACTTACTGTGAGCTACTAGGAAAGAGCCGTGACACTACAACAGTCACACTTGATTTAGTTTCTTTTTTTTTTTTTGAATTGAGAAAGTAATGTGCAATACTGTTTGCAATGTAGTCAAGGAATAAAGAAATAATAGAGTAAAAAGGGAACTCTCCTCACCCCACTCTCCAGCAGTGATCACCAGGAACATTTTGGTACCTGTTCTTCCAGATCCTGCACACTACAAAAGATTTCTTTTTTTCCTTTCTAAACTAAACTGGATGCTCCTTTCCCAGAAGTTCTCTTTACAGATCATATCCCATTCTTTTTTTGGTGTGGGGGGACTACTGGGGACTGAACTCGGGCACTTGACCACTGAGTCAATCCCCAGCCCTATTTTGTATTGTATTTAGAGACAGGGTCTCACCTGAGTTGCTTAGCGCCTTGCTGTTGCCGAGGCTGGCTTTGAATTCGCCATCCTTCTGCTTTAGCCTCCCAAGCAGCTAGGATTACAGGTATGCACTATCATGCCTGACTCATATCCCACTCTTGTCATCATAAAAATACATCCAACTCCAGGTCTTGAGCACTTCCTGTGTTAAACATTTGGTTCCCTTGGGGCGTGGGTTGGCAGGACTTGGCTGTTAAAAAGCAAATTATGGATGCCCTTGGGGTGCTTGCTGTGAATGGTTTTAATGTTGTGAGAGCTAATTTTTTTTGGTTTGATTTGTAGGTTTTGAAAAACCATCAGCAATCCAACAGCGAGCTATCAAGCAGATAATTAAAGGGAGAGACGTCATTGCACAGTAAGTTGACCTCTGTGGAGAGGAGAGATTAGACCCAGTCAGTGACATGCAGTGCTGAGAGGTGCCTTGAGGTGTGTCTGTCCATGCACTCAGGGTGAGCTCTATCCGTCATTTCAGCCCCAAGGTTTTACATTGTATGGCTTTTGTGTTCTTTACTAGAGAAAGCTTTTGTCTTTTAGCTAGTTTTGCTTAGCTATCAGTTTGCTTGTGGACTTATATGTAATATTCCTTCAATAGTTTTCATTTGTCTTGTTTTTGTTTTTCTTTTCCTCCCCCTACTCTGCCCAGCACCCAGCTTTTTTGGATGGGCTGTACCAGGGATTGAACCCCAGGGTACTCAACCACTGAGCCACATCTCCAGCCCAAATTTTGTATTTTATTCGAGACAGGGTCTCACTGAGCTACTTAGCGCCTGTTGCTGAGGCTGGCTTTACTCGTGATCCTCCTGAGCTGCTGGGATTATAGGCATGCACCACTGCTCCTGGCCCCCACTTCTTTTTTGACTAATTGATTGTGCTCAGGGTGGAACCCAGGACCTTGTGCATGCTAGGCAGGTCCTCTATTGGCGAGCTACACTCCCAAGCGCCCCCCACACCATACTGGGGGTTGAACCCAGGGCCACTGTACCACTGAGCTATATCCTTAGTCCCCCCCCCCCCCCTTTTTTTTTTGTTTTGAGACAGGATCTCACCAAGTTGCTGAGATGGAACAAGTCTCCTGATTTAGTCAGCTGCTCCATATCTGAGATCACAGGCATGCACCACTGTCTGTCCCTGTTTGCCTGATTTTTAAAAACATTCAACTATAAAAAAAAATTATTTTATATAACAAAAATCTTAGGAAATAATTGTATGTATGTAAAGGGGACTTCCCTCTTTTTTGCCACCTATAAAACACCTGTGTGAAGTTGTAGATTCTGTAGGTCTGTTGCCCTGTGCAAAGCCACATGGACTGTCATCATATGTGGAGATGTAAATGTCGTGATGCTGTGCTCTGAGTCTCATCCCCTTGCAGTTCAGATCTTGGGGTGAGAGGAGCATTTGCTTGGAAGAAGCCTTCTGAGTGCTCCAGAGCCGGGCCCTTGAAGCATTGCAGTGGTGGGTCGCCCTCCCTCTGATCACACTCTGCTTCCTTGCATAGGTCCCAATCTGGTACAGGCAAGACAGCCACCTTCAGTATTTCAGTCCTCCAGTGTTTAGACATACAGGTGAGTTGCCGCTCTCTCTACCAGTGCCCTTCCACCCTGGAAGAGCTGGCTTTCCCTCCTGCTGTGTTTAAGGAGTGCAGTGCTTTAAGTTCTCTGCTTATGCTGACTTAGGAGTTAAAGAGAATTTCAGTTGCTGTAAACATTTGAGCTACCAAAAATCTGTCATGAATTCCTTTTTATTTAAACTAGGAGGTTTTTTTTTTTTCTTTTTTAATAACTTCACCCAAAATAAAAAGTTTCTTCTCAGCAAAAGAAACAATATGTGAGGTGAATAGAGAGCCTACATCTTGGGAGCAAATCTTTACTCCTCAAACATCAGATAGAGCACTAATCTCTAGGGTATATAAAGAACTCAAAAAGCTAAACACCCAAAAAACAAATAAGCAAATCAATAAATGGGCCAAGGACTGAAGAGACACTTCTCAGAAGATGATGTACAATCAATCAACAAATACATGAAAAAATGTTCATCATCACTAGCAATTAGAGAATGCAAATCAAAACCACTCTAAGATTTCATCTCACTCCAATCAGAATGGCAGCTATTATGCATACAAATAACAATAAGTGTTGGCAAGCATGTGGGGAAAAAGGCACACTCATACACTGCTGGTGAGATTGCAAATTGGTGCAGCCAATTTGGAAAGCAGTGTGGAAATTTCTTGGAAAACTGGGAATGGAACCATCATTTGACCCAGCTATCTCTCTCCTCGATCTGTACACAAAGAACTTAAAAACAGCATACTACAGGGACACAGCCACATTAATGTTAATAGCAGCACAATTCACAATAGCTAAACTGTGGAACCAACCTAGATGCCCTTCAATAGATGAATGAATAAAAAAAAAAAATGCCATATATACACAATGGAATATTACTCAGCAGTAAAAGAGAATAAAATTATGGCATTTGCAGGTAAATGGATGGAGTTAGAGAAGATTATGCTAAGTGAAGTTAGCCAATCCCAAAAAACTGAATGCCGAATGTTTTCTTTGATATAAGGAGGCTGATTCATAGTGGGATAGGGAGTG